TTTTCTTGTCCAGGAAGCTCTTTATCTGTCCTTTGATTCTAAATGATAGCTTTGCTGGGTAGAATAACCTTGGTTTTTAGGTCCTTGATTTTCATCACTTTGAATATTTCGTGCCAATCCCTTCTGGCCTAAAAACTTTCTAATGAGAAATCAGCTGACAGTCTTATGGGAGCTTCCTTTTAGGTAACTAATTGATTTTCTCTTGCTGCCTTTAAGATTCTCTTTTTCTTTAACTTTTGGCATTTTAATTATGATATGTCTTGATGTGGTCTTCTTTGGGTTCATCTTGTTTTCAGACACTTCCTGGATTTGCATGTCTCTATTTCCTTTGCCAGAGTTTTAAGTCATTATTTCTTCAAATAGGTTTTCAATCCCTTGCTCTCTTTCTCTTCCCCTTCTAATACCCCTATGATGAGAAAGTCATAGTGCTTGATGTTGTCCCAGAGCTTTCTTAAGCTACTGTTATTATTATTGGGGGGGGGGGTTCTTTTAATTTTTTCCTGTTTTGATTGGGTGGTTTTTGCTACCTTGTCTACCAAATCACTGATTCAATGCTCTGCTTCGTCTAATCTGCTATTGATTCCATCTAATGTATTCTTCATTTCAGTTATTATATTTTTATTTCTGACTGGATCTTTTCTATGGTTTCTATATCTTTGTCTAACTTTTCACTGATCTCATCCATTCTTCCCTTAAGTTCATTGAGCATCCTAATAACCAGTGTTTTGAGCTCTGCATCTGGTAGATTGCTTGTCTCCATTTTGTTTAGTTCTTTTTCAAGAGTTTTGTCCTATTCTTTCATTTGGAACATATTTGTTTTTTCATTTTGTCTGCCTCCCTGTGTTTGCTTCTATGAATCAGGTATATCTGCTACGTCTCCCAGTTTTGGCAGGATGGCCTTATGCAGTAAGTGTCCTGTGGGGCCCAGTGGTACAGACTTCTTAGTCACCTGAGCTGAGTGCTCCAGGGGTATCCCTTGTGTGGATTATGTGTGTCCTCCTGTTGAGCCTTGACTGCTGTTGGCATGTTAGGGAGTGGGATCGACCCTCAGGTTGACTGGCTGCGAGGATAAGCTGTGTCTACAGTGGATGAGCTGACCCCATGGAGCAGGATTCACTTTAATGGGGCTCTGCTGCCTGTCCAGTCCATCATTTGGGTGTGTTGTTTGTGGAGCTGAGTGGTGCTTTGGTGTGGTCTGAAGGCAGCCACTGGATGTGTTTGTTCTGGGGTCTCTTGGGACAGGCTTTGGTGCAGATCCAAGTCTGCCACTGACTCTGCCCAGCCCAGGGCCCTTGGTAAGAGCTACAAAGTGATGTGCAGTTGGCAGCAGCTATCTGTACTGGACTTGGAGGCAGCTGGGCGAGGCTATGCTGTGAACCAATGCTGGTTGCCACCAGTGCTGGGCTGGGGGTCATTTAACAAGTGATACAGGGCACACCAAGGCCAGAAGCTGTTTGTTTGGGCTTTGTAAACCTTTGAGAGAGATTGGGAAGGTCTGCAGAAATGGTTTGAGGCTGGCAGCTTGTGAGGAACAGCAGGTGAAAGAGGTTCAAGCTGGTGCTGGGGTTGGGTGGGACACAGTCTTAGGGAATCACCACGGTGGGGCCAGAATATGAAGCAAGATAAACTTGCTTCCATAAGGAAACTCAGATATGGTGTCCCCTGTAAGGGAGGAAGGGCTCAACAAAGGAACAATGGTACCTTCCAGCAGCTCTGTCTGTGTGAGAGCTGCCCCTCTGGCCCTTTCCCTGAAGCCAGACAATTCAGTTCCTCCCTATATGCTCCAGGCACTTTTTCTTTTTTTCAAATTATGAGAAAGATTATTTAGAAAGTTACAGAGGTAGAAGTAAACCAAGTGGATGAATAGGCTCAGGAAACAAGTTAAAGAAGCAAAAGGAGGACCCTTGGAGCTTGAGAGAGAGAAGGTCAAAGGTAATGCCCCTAGCGGGGAGAAGAGGGGAAGGGAAAGGTGCATGCGGGCTCCTGAGAGGGAGGGTGTGCTACCCCTGGCACTTTGAGCTGCTGTGCCTTCACTGGAGTTTAGTGTACTTGTGAGTCTGTGCTGCGGCCCTTTAAGAGAGTGCCTGAGTGTACCACAGCCCAGACTGAGTTCCTGCTGATTTTCACAGATGTTGTGGGGCTCCTCTTCATGGCACTGGTGCTCTGGGACAAGAGCCCCTTGTGGGGCTGCCCCCACCCATTCTTCACTGGAGACCTCTGCAGTCGATATATCCCTCCTAATTCTTAGCTGCCGCAGGTGGGTCTGGGGCCAGCTGGGTTGCATCTCTGCCCCTCCCACCGGTCTCACGTGGCCTCTTCTGTATACCCTTAGTTATGGGAGTTCTGTTCAGCTAGACTTCAGGTGTTTCTCAAGGGTGGTGGTTCTATAATTTTAGTTGTAATTTTGATGTGATCATGGAAGGAAGTGAGCACAACATTTACCTACTGCACCATCTTTACTGAAAATGGGATCAAATATCCTTTGGATAATTCTCTAATTGAATGCAAAAATAATTGAATAAGTTGAGGTACAGCCACTTGATGTGATACAAAAATTAATAAAATGAGAATGTTTATGTCATGTTCAATGAAAAAAAGCACGATATGAAACTGTACATACAAGGTATAAAACAAATAAATATTCAGGCATACCTTGTTTTATTGTGCTTTGTTTTACTGCATTTCAAAGACCCTCCCAGTTAAAGGATCACAACTCTCTTTATTGTTTTACTCACTTTATTGAGATACTCACTTTATTGTGGTTGTCTAGAATTAAAGTGGCAATATCTCTGAGGCATGCCCATACAGAGGAAGATGACTGAAATAAAATATCTCAAAATGTTAATAGAACTGTAGATATATGGGTAGGTTTTTCCACTCCTTTCATTTTTCCCCCTTACATTTCCAGATTCTTTAATGAGCATGTATTACTCCTCCCTTCCCCCCTACCCCAGCTTTATTGGGCTATAATTGGAGCATGTATTACTTTTTACATGTCTGGGGCAATGGGTTAGACATAGTTTACCAGGTAATGGTGATCTCCTTCCAAGTGTCTCCTGATTTGCCTCCTTCAGACCCCACCAAGGAGCAATTTCATCAAGCTCCAAGACATTATTATGCCTGCTTGGTGGCAGAGGTTGCATTTTGTCTTCTTTTATTTTGAGAACTTGTCATATTTCCTCTCCCACTCTGCTCCCTGAGGGCAGGGGGCCTTCTGTATTCATCTCTGTATTCCCAGTGTTATTTCTTTTGCCCTTGGGGCTGTACTTCAAACATACTGCCAAAAATACGGCCCATTACAATAACCTTCTATCAGGTCTTCCTAATAATTAAGCCTTTGGTTTCCTTTAATCTAGTGAACCTAGACTAATCTAGTTGAGTCTAGTAGAGTCTAGTTGAAAACAACCACCCCTTGCTCAAAGCCCTCCAGTGGTTCTCCATCTCACTCAGAAATAAAGCCAAAGGCCCTACAGAATTAATCATGGGCCTCCTTGCACCAACCACACTGGCCCCCCGCTGTGCCAGTCTTTCCCCAGAGATCCCCATGGCCAGCTCCATCAATTTCTTCATGCCTCTTAAGTGACCCTCTTAGCAATGCTTATTCCATTTTACTTTTTTCCATTATCAATATCCAGGGAAACTGAGGCTGAAAGAGGTCAGGTGATTTAGCAGACATCATGCAAGGGGACTTCTAGGCATAATGCTAGTCACTGAATGAAGGGGTCAGTGAGGCCGTTTTCACAGCACCCCAGTGTCCTCAGCCACATAGAATCCTAGTTTGCTTCTTTTATCCTTGCAGTGAAGTCAAACATCAGAAACAAAATCCCTCACACCAGGAACATTTTTGTCTTGAGAAGCTTTTAAAAGGAAGCTGAACTCTTTGGTGAAGGTATCTGCTCCAATCTGGATAGTAGGTAGACAGGTGTCCATTATATCTGTATACCTATTTGTGTGTACATAAATATTTTACAAAAATTTTAATAAGTACAATGAACTGAAAACAAAGCCCAGAAAAATGCAGGTGGTGCCTAGGTGGCCAGATGCCTCAAGCCTTTCCACCTCCTGGGTGAAGGCATAGAACATGCAACAAACAGGCCCTGGACTCACTAACCAAGATAAATAATACTTAAGGCAATGTTTTAAAAAATCAAATCAGCAAACTGGGACCTAAGGGCCTGTGCTAGTTTTTATAAAGTTTTATCCTAAGTTCCAACAAGCATCTGTCTACACACACACACACACACACACACACACACTCCAGCATCTGCAATAACAAGTGGCCTTAAGGGTCCCCGTCGCGAGAATCCCCCACTACTCTTACCCCACTCAAAAAATAAAAATAAAATAGACTTGCTCCAAAGGAGCTGACAGAAGAAAGGGAGATCCTTTCGCTGCAGGCTGCCTCTGAGACCATGGAGAGCAGCTGCTAAAGAAGCCTGCAGTGGCCCCAGCTCCCCTTAGCAGCTCCTTGCCTCACCATCTCTCTCTCTCTGCACCCTTCCACCCAGCTAAGGGGGTTCTGGGGCTTTATTTATTTTTAATTCCTCACCTGAGGACATGTTTATGGATTTGAGAGAGGAAGGGAGGAGAGAGAAACATCGATGTGAGAGAAACATTCATCGGTTTCCTCCGGTATGTGCCCTGACCGGGAATCCAACCTGTGACCCTTGCGGTGCACTGGGGAGCACTCCATCCCAGCCCACCCGCCGGGCTCTGCAGCTTTAAGTCCCCCAAGTTGCCCCGCCCCTCGCAGGCGGTTGCCAGGGAGACCGACACACAGCAAGGCAGCGCCCACAGGCCGGAACCCTTGCCCGCCAGCCATGGCCGGCTTGCAGCCGTGGCGGCGCAGCTTCCGGAAGCCGGAGGAGGAGGACCAGGGGGAGGAGGACCAGGAGGAGGAGGAGGAAGAGGAGGAGGAGATGGAGATGGGCGTGGAGGAGGAGGAGGAGGAGCGGCCGGCGGCCGAGGAGGAGCCGGGGACCAGGGCGGCGGGCGCCGCGATGCTCAGCGACGAGGACTTCTGGAAAGTAATCGACCTCGGCGAAGACCTCGGCGACGGCAGCTACGAGGACGCGCCCGCCCTCCGCCTCCGCTTCACCAGCATCGTGAGCCCCAGCCTGAGCTCCACGGCCACGCCCTCGGAAACTTCGACCACGACCACGACGACGACGCCCAGCCCCACGGCGCTCAGCGCCGTGACGCCCAGCCAGGCCTCGAGCGAGAGCGGGAGCACCAGCACCCAGAGCGCCACGGCGTCCTCCAGCCCCTCCTCGCAGACGAGTACCGGCTGCGCGCCCCGCCCGCCCGGCGCCAGAGCCCCGCCCCGGGAGCCTGGTTCCTAACTCCCGGCTGCGCGCACAGGAAGCGCACACACAGGCACACACACACCACACACACCGGCACACAGACGCACACACAGACACATAGACACCACACACAGGCACCACACACACACACACACACCACACAGGCACACACACACACCACACACACCGGCACACAGACGCACACACAGACACATAGACACCACACACAGGCACCACACACACACACACAAAGGCACACACAGGCACACACACACCACACACACCGGCACACAGACACACACAGACGCATAGACACCACACACAGGCACCACACACACACACACACACCACACACACCGGCACACAGACGCACACACAGACACATAGACACCACACACAGGCACTACACACACACACAGACACATAGACACCACACACAGGCACCACACACACACACACACAGGCACCACACACACACAGACATACACACAGACACCACACACACACAGACACATAGACACCACACACAGGCACTACACACACACACACACACAGGCACCACACACACACAGACATACACACAGACACCACACACACACAGACACATAGACACCACACACAGGCACTACACACACACACACACACAGGCACCACACACACACAGACATACACACAGACACCACACACACACAGACACATAGACACCACACACAGGCACTACACACACACACACACACAGGCACCACACACACACAGACATACACACAGACACCACACACACACAGACACATAGACACCACACACAGGCACTACACACACACACACACACAGGCACCACACACACACAGACATACACACAGACACCACACACACACAGACACATAGACACCACACACAGGCACTACACACACACACACAGACACCACACACACACAGACATACACACAGACACCACACACACACAGACATACACACAGACACCACACACACACAGGCACCACACACACACAGGCACCACACACACACACAGGCACACACACACACACACACAGGCACACACACACACACACCACACAGGCACACACACACACACACAAAGGCACACACACACACACACCACACAGGCACACACACACAGGCACACACACACACCACACACACCGGCACACAGACACACACACAGACACATAGACACCACACACAGGCACCACACACACACACACAGGCACANACAGACACCACACACACACAGGCACCACACACACACAGGCACCACACACAGGCACACAGACACTACACACACACACACAGGNACACACACACACACACACAGGCACCACACACACACACAGACACATAGACACCACACAGGCACCACACACACACACAGACACATAGACACCACACACAGGCACCACACACACACACACAGGCACACACACACAGGCATCACACACACACAGGCACCACACACACACATCTATCAAAAGCACTGAAATCCTGGCCGGGTGTGATGGTTCCTAATTTAGGATAACTGAGAACTTCGGCAAAGCTGTAGGAAGTGCTGCTTCCCAAAGCATTCACACAATGATCGTGTCGTGTGGTCCCCCCTCACTAGCACGTGCCACTCTTGGAAAAGGAGTAGTGCCTTAAGGGTGCTATGCTACTAAAAACAGTCCTGCAAAAAACAACTCACCTTCGTGTTAAATTTCCTGCACTGAAGCCACTGCAGTCAATTCCTTAGAAACATGTTGTCAGGATAATTCTTTGCTGGGGAGTGAGGAGAGGGCAGGGCTGTCCTTTGCATTATAGGATATTTAGCAGCATCCCTGGCCTTAAGCCCTGGCTATGCCATTAGCCCCTACCCCATTTTGTGACCATCAAAAATGTCTTTAGATGTTGCCAAATGCCTTCTGGAGGGCAGAATTGTCTTTTTGAGAACCGCTGATTTAGAGAGGGAATGGCTAAAATTTTTAATGTTTCATTCAACAGGTTTTCCTAAGATATTTCAGACATTTAAGAAAGACTCATCTGAAGCAAACTTAGATAGGTAAGAGAGTGTTTTCAGTTTTCATATTTTCGAAGCTGATTATATTTACTTTTTGGATAAACATTTTCAGGAAGTGGAGTAAAATCATCCAAGACATTTACAACTAATTACTTTGGAAAGGTTTTGTTTTTTTAAAATCTATACCCTTAGACAATTTGAAGGAGACAGAGACAAGGTCCCTGCCCATCTCCAACTTGTCACCTACCTGTAGAGATGACATATGCACTTAATATAATGAAATAATTGTATTCGTGTGTAAGTCCTATGAACATTTAAGACATACATCTCTATTGACTAAATTCAAGTGAGCCCTGCCAGCGTGGCTCGGCAGTTGAGCATCAAGCTATGATCCACGAGATCGCCGTTCAATTCCCAGTCAGGGCACGTGCCCGGCTGCAGGCTCGATCCCCAGTTGGGGGTGTGCAGGAGGCAGCCGATCAATGACTCTCTCATTATTGATGTTTTTATCTCTTCCTTCCTCTCTCTGAAATTGATAAAGATATATTTTTTAAAAAGAAAGAAAAAGATGTTATAAATTCGGGCATGAGCAGGGACACCTGTGGAGGAGAGTGGCCATGAGGATCCTTTTCTTCTCTTTTTCTTCTTCCTGCTGTCACTATTAGCCTTCGAGTACGTTATGATAAGACACCAGAGAAGTATACCTTTTGGAATATCTTTATGAATCTTCCCTCAAATCTCACAGCAAACCTGACTCTACAATCTTGAATTACTAGTCACCAAAGTTTTGCTTTCACAAGCAACTTTTAAATTATTAAGCATAAGGGGAATACTGTTCCACTTACATGTTGCTATTTATCCTCTTATTTCAACATTTTAATAAAGGATAATATATGTACATGGTTAAAATATTAGAGTATACAATGGTATAAAATTTAAAAACTTCATACCCTTCACCCACCCCCTACCACTCATCAGAATTAACCTACTGTTAACTGTTTTGCTTCCAGTATAATTTTAAGTAGCATATTTCCATTCCTTGATTTATCAGTTTTTGACATAACTAATGACTTCCCACCATGAAAGATAACAAATGTAACTTATACTGTTTCCCTCCACTCCATTTTTGGTAGTTATATTATTTTTAGTTTTTCTTTTTTTTTTTTTTTTTTTAAGTTTTTATTGATTTCAGAGAGAGGAAGGGAGAGAGAGAGAGAGAAACATCAATGATGAGCTGCCTCCTGCACGCCCCCTCCTGGGAATTGAGCCTGCAACCCGAACATGTGCCAGGAATTGAACCATGAGCTCCTGGTTCATGGGTCAATGCTCAACCAATGAGCCATGCCAGCGGGGCTTATTTTTAGTTTTTCTAACCTTTAGGACGTTAAGATATTTAAACCTCTACTTGATTTGTCAATTTTAGTGACTATTAACCTTTGAAAAATTAACATATTAATGCACTTCTACTTTCTTCCAGCTCCTCTTACCCTTTCCCATCTAACAACAAATTATATAACAAACTATATTAAAACTTACGTATTAATATAAAGTCATATTGCTTTGCCAAACTTTATTATATTTGTATTATATTTTGTAATCATAATGAACTCTTAGTGCTTTGGGTACAGATTGATTCTGAAAATTAAAAACCAATAGACAATACTCATAATTTCATGCTAAGACCCAATAATGTGACTGGATTTATGCACAAGAAAATTAAATCCTATGTTCATAAAACTTGACTCTTAAAAGATGAACTTTCAACGTTCAGTTGCAGTGTTTCTGAGTTGGGCTCAATGGCCACACTTTCTTGATCCCCATATTGCTTTCTTTCTTTTATTCTTTCTTTCTGCTGAGAAACTCCTCGGGGAATTATTTCATATAGATGCCATGAGAAGTTCAATTTCTGAGTCCTTGCCTGTCCTGAAATTTCTTCATTTTGCTTCATTCTTTAATAATCCTATAACCTGGCATAAAACAATAGCCTTAAAGCCGCTTGCCCTCTGCGCTCTGAAGACCCCCATGCTTCGCTGCACTCTAGCACCCAGCACCGCTCAGCAGCGACTCTCAAGCCGCTGGATACCTGCTTATCTGCGCCCGTCCCTGCCCCTGCTCTTTCCTTCAGGGCTCCGGAAGGATGGCTGTTGGGCCTCTTGGATGCCTTCAAGGCTGTAGGCGTTTCCGTGCTCCTGTGCAGCCCTTGTACAGGATTTATTTCAGGATTCATATTTGTAGTTTCTAAGATCCAGTTCTTGTTCTCTGCTGCTGTTCAAATAGCGCGTGAGGGGGTTTGGGGGGGTAATGTCTTTGAGATGCTCTTACAATACACTCAAGTTGCTCTTTGTTCTTTGTTTTGCTTTTTTTTCTTTCAGGATCAGTTAGTTGTTCAGTTTGTTTATCTTGGTCCTTCCTCTTCTATGCTACTGATTGACCTTAAGTGCCTGGTAATCCTTGGTTATCCATTTGTATTCTTAAATTAATGACTGTTAGGGAGCTAAAATGGAGTCCTGCAGCTGAGTAGGTCTGTTTTTGTGTGTGTGTTTTAAATTTTTATTTATTGATTTTTAGAGAGAGGGAAGAATGGGAAAAGAGAGAGAAACACTGATTTGCTGTTCCACCTATTTATGCATTCACGGGCTGATTCCCAAACGTGCCCTGACCGGGGATTGAACCTGCAATACTGGCACATGATCCTGGCAGGGCAATGCTCTAACCAAATGAGCTGCCCTGCCAGGGCCTAAGTAGTTCTGTTCTCCAACAGGGCGTGCAGAGGGGAGTTTGACTGTGAGTCCTGTGTAGGTGGGTGACGTATGTCAGAGCCAGCTTCCTGCGAAGTGTCGGCAGGGAGCAGACAAGATGGACATCCCCACTATCACTAGAGTTAGGGTAAGGACACTTTACTGTGTGGCTGGAGCTCTTTCTGGGTAGAATGTGCCTGTCCCTCACCCAAGCCTGCTGAGCAGGTCCTAAGTAACCTCAAACTGTGCTCTGCTTGTCTGTCAGGCCCCAAACCCCTCAGGCAGGCTGCTCACAATTTTTAGAAAGCAGTTCTTTGGGCTTCTTGTGGAAATAGAAGCAACTCCTGCCAAATGCTCTGTATAAGGGGAGAGAAGGAGCCTGCCTGGCAGCTGTTCCAAGTTCACTCCTTGAACTTGAATGACAGGCCCCAGCCCCCTCTCTGCATTTGGTGGAGCCTGAGCTCGGAGCTCCTCGGGAATTCCATATAGAGCTTACCTCTCTTGTCTGGAGCCCTGGTGTCCCCTGCTCTGGTTTTCCATCAACCGGAGGCCACTTATTTTCTTTCTTGTAAGAACTTCTTCAATATTACTTGTGTACTGATGACAGCTTGCTTGTTTCCCAGGGCTGTTTTTTGTTTGCTTTTAAGTATTTGTTATCTCAGGAAGGAAGGACAGACCTGTGTGCTCAGGAGCCCTCTTGACCTTGGTTTCCTACATGGGAAGCTCTTTCCCAGATCAAATCTCCATTTCCTCTCATAAATCTTCCTAAGAAGATGCTTCTTTGATATTCCATAGCATTCTCTGGTGAATTTGGTGAGGTGTGTTTTTAAGGAAATCTGTCCTAAAAGGCCATAAAAATGCCACCACTATTGGCTCATCTTCCATTTATAATGGCCCTATCTCTTCAGGTCGAGCAATGTTGTTACTCTTTAGGAGCAGGTGAGTGCAGAGGAGCACAGATTTGGGAGCCAAACAGGCCTGGGCCCCCAACTGCCTCTGCTGCACATAATTTCTGAGAGGCTCCTTAGAGCCTCAGTTTCCTTGCCTGTAGAAAGGGATGCTAATACCTGCCTGGATTGTTTTTTGCAAAGATAAATGAAATAATGTGAGAAAGCAAATACTATGTACGTACTTACCACACAGTAAGTTCTCAGGAAATGTGGATTTTGTTGTTACCCTTGGTCATCTGCCATCTTGACACAGAATTTCAGAAACAATCTTTGGTGCTGATTTAAGGAAAACAGAGACGTAGATGAATAATATATTGATTTTGTTAACTGTTTCATTGGGGGGGAGGGGAATCTAAACTTTAAATATTGTCTAGGGATTGTTCTTCAATGTGCCTGTACTCTTGGTCCCTATACCTTGCTTCTCCAGGAGGTTAGACAGACAGAGCACCCCCAGGGACTTACACAGGTAGCTTTGGCAGAGGAGTTCTTCACCCATTACAGGGCACAGTCATTTAAGAATGAAAACAAAACACCCCACTAATGCAATGTACCGAGGAGCAAAGCATCAAAAATGGAAGGTGGAGACACAAGAGAACTGAGAAACATGAAAAAAGGGACAGTTCTGAAATTGACTAAATTATTTGGAAAAATTTTGTTTGATAATTTTTGACGATACCCCAAATTATTACAAGAAAATGAAATCCAAAGAGGCAAAGGAACTTGAAAAACAATAGTTATCTTGTACTTGTTACCAGTAACAGTCATTTTAACTAGTAAAAGTCAATAAATTCCTGCCTTTCTATCATGTTAGTGATAACTCAGGTAACTGATTAAACTACTTGCAAAAAGAATGCAGGTTGTTAAATTACAATGCATTTAACTTCAGCCTTCTAAAAAGAGTTTGGATTATTTTTAAGTTATTTAAAACAAGCAATATGTTCTCATTTAAATCTAAGGAAATGTTTAAACACACACAACATCACTGCCACCACCACTAGCAGCACACATGCACAGAGTGGTAGGAAGTTCGTCCCTGGGGAGACCATATGGCATTGGGAGCCTCCAGAATTTGGAAAGGAGTACTTTCTAAAGAACAGATAAGATGCAAATATACTGTGCCTGATTTTACTGAAGAGATAAAAATGGGAGAAAATATTTCAAAGAAAATAGAATTCAGGATCTTCTTTGTACATTTGCTATTTGATTGTTAAATGTACTGTATTTAGAAGAACGGCTGACAACTATATAGGTATACTCGTAAATGATGTTTTGTCTAAATTTCAGGATGATCTATAGGGATTTCTATCCAAGAATCCAAATGTCAGTCCAAACAGAAGAAAGTTGGCTTCAAGATTTGTCCAACAGAAAGAAGCCTGGTGAGTAGTTTGATTTCTTAGCTTTTGCTGAGTGGTGGGATGGAAAGAGCAGTGTAGGCCATTGGTAGATCAGGTTTGAATCCCAGCCCAACACTAACATTGTGATGGTTGGGCAAGTTGCTTCCTCCTCATATGTCGGCAATAATAAAACAAGGTTGAATATGTAAACTACTTGGCACTTAGTCTTTAAGAAATTGTAGCATTTATGTCCAAAGCAAGAAATAATCTGCCATTATATTTTGATGTATATCTTTATTTTTATTATAGAAGTAACAGATGCGTGCTGTTTTTTAAATGTCAAACCATTAAGGAATATATAATGTAAAAATTAAATTTTTAACATACCCCAATATAGTCCTCAAAAGCAATCTTTACGAATAACCTTTCCTTTTTATATTTGTTTTGTGTTGTATCACTTACTCATCAGGGGCTTTTTGAGCACCTATCAGAGACCAAACCCTATTCCAGAGAAACAGCAGTGAACAAAACAAGCAAAACCCCTGTCTCAATGATCTCCTATTAAAGTGTGGGAGGTAGAGGTAATGGTGAGATAAGTGACACCAAAACAAGTAAATATATAATACATGAGGTGACGTAAGTGCTAAGGAGAAATCAAGCAGGTAAAGGGATGGAAAATGTTGGGCAGGAAGGATGCAAGCTTACACAGGGTGCTTAGGGAAATCTTCACTGAGAAGCTGAAAAATTTGAGCAAAGACCTCAAGGAGGTGAGACTGTGAGCCACCACCATCTCTGCCGGAAGAGTGTTCCAGATCAAGGAGGCATCCCCTGTGGCTACAGGGGGATAATTAAGGAGGAGAACCTTAGGGGACAAGTCAAAGAGACAATGAGGACCAAGTCATTTTCAGTGGGAATGAAGTGGGAAGTCACTGGAGGGTTTGCACAAAGGAGTGACACAACCTAGCGTAAAAATGGACCAAATATATTTTTTTAAATGTTAATTATTGCCAAATTAATCTCTATAGTCAATGTAATTCTGATTGGATTTTTCATTGAAATTTGACAAGTTGATTCTTTGATCTGGGTTGGCAGTGTTAAAAGATAAACTGAGGCATTTTCAAATGTTTAAGTGTGTGTTTGAGCAAACATTCATTCGAATCCTGCAGCATCAGGCCAGAAGTGTTTAGCAACCCTCCACCAACAAGAGCTACGGGAGAGGTTTTTATAAAGAACACACGGAGCACACCGGGGAAATGACTTGATTGGCTGCAGCTTCAGGGTCACACTGTTTGGGGAAGCCTAGTTGGCTGTTTGTGATCGGCTGTTCTGAACCCTGAGGCATTTACAGGAATTGACTCTGACTTAGGTTTCAGTTTGCTTACATAGGACACCAAAGCACTGCCACCACCTCTAATGGCCTCCTTGTTTGATTAGCAGTGCTTGATTAGTGTACCTGTCCTTTTTTTTTTTTTTTCCTAAATATATCTTTATTGATTTCAGAAAGAAGAAGGGAGAGAGAGAGAGACAGAAACATCAATGATGAGAGTCATTGATTGGCTGCCTCCTACAAGCCCCTAACTGGGGATCGAGCCTGTAGCCCAGGCATGTGCCCTGACCAGGAACTGAACCCTGATATCCTGGATCCTAGGTCAATGCTCAACCACTGAGCCACATCCAGCCAGTCCCTGTCCATTTTTTAATGATTCTTTTCCAGTTTTTCTTTCCATAGGCAACTCATATGCAGCTCTTATTAGTTTATTCCTAGGTACTTTTTAGTCTTTTTATTGACATAACGATTAGAATCTTTTTTCCTATTATATTTTCTAATTGGTTATGTCACTGTATAGGAAAGCTGTTGATTTCTATGTGTTAATCTTGTATCTCTGACCCTCTTATTAATTCTAATACTTTGTCAGTTGAAAGCCTATTAGACAATTACATTTCCTGTGAATAACAGCAGTTTTATTTCTTCTTTAATTTTTTTACTGAGCAATGTGTTGTGCACATCTTTCCATGTCAGGAAAGGGTGTCTAATTATCTGAATGACTACATGGGATCCCATATGTACAATTATTGTGACTTATGTAATAAATCTGAGTGCTGGGCATTTCAGGGTTGGTTTGATTTGGTTCTTCAAGCTCTTCCCAATAGCAAGTGATGCCTTAATGAAAATCTTTGTGCACTGATGTTTTTATACAGCAGGTCCTTGAATAATGTCATTTCATATAATGTTGATGAGTTACCATGGGAACTTACTACTTGTATACCAATAGTCAATGGTAAAATCAATTTTGTTATAGGTTATTTCACTTAAAGTCACAGAACCTGTTGATGACTTAAATGAGGACTTATACTGTACCAGTGCTTGCATTTCTGTTGGGCAAAATGCTTAAGACATATTTAAAATGTTTTCAAATACTCCACGTAGAAAGTGTGTTACCTCTGGAGCCTGTCTCTTTCCCCAGCAGCAGCTCTCGCTGTCCCTGCTCTGCTGGGAGACGGGCCAGCCCCCTCCCTTTGCCTCTGAGCGATTGTAGATTGTTCTGATTGGTTTTTCATCATTCCAGTCCCATGTGCTTAAACTTCTAGATTTACTGAAAGTCACTGTGTGTTGATAGCTGCCTTCCCTTCCCCATTTCCAGTCCTGCCCTGGAGTCTGTGGAGGAAATAAGACTGGTGGTTTGGTTCACAGTGTTGAACTTGAACCCCCTACCCCCGCCCCAGCACCAGTCTACCTGAAAAATCTTTCATAGAATAGCAGACATAAAGTAAACACATAGTACTTAAGAAAAGCACAAAATAACAGGATCTGCAAGTCATGATTATAATCAAGTAAAATATGCATCCATGTAGTGTTCTAGCGCTGGAAAGGGACAGAAACATTTTAAAATGTGAGGCATTAGAGTGGTGGGTTTCCTCTCTTTGTTCCTTATTGTTGATAAAATGTTATTTAGAAAAAGGCCCAAAAAAAGTTATAAACACAATAATGGTAATTATTTTTCCAAGAGGCATATCTTCTTTCTTTTCTTTATTTTTTACCCTCACCCGAGGATATTTTTCCTCTGCTTTTATTTATTTATTTATTTATTTTTAAAATATATCTTTATTGATTTCAGAGAGAAGAAGGGAGAGGGAGAGAGAGAGATAGAAACATCAATGATGAGAGAGTCACTGATCAGCTGCCTCCTGCACGCCCCCGACTGGGGATGGAGCCCACAACCCGGGCATGTGCCCTGACCGGGAATTGAACCCTGATAGCCTGGATCCTAGGTCGATGCTCAACCGCTGAGCCACACCCGGCTGGGGCTTCCTTTGCTTTTAGATAGAGTGGAAGGGAGTGGAGGGGAGAGAGAGAGGGAGAGGAACATCGATGAGAGAGACACATCGATCCGCTGCCTCCTGAAAGAGCCTGACCCAGCCGGGGATTGAGCCTGCAACCCAGGTACATGCCCTTGACTGGGAATCAAACCCGAAACCCTTTGGTCCATGGACTGACTCTCTAACCACTGAGCCAAACCAGCCAGGGCCATTTTTTTCTTATACATTAAACTTCTTTCCTACTTTGTCAGGATTAATGACAAACATATACTCTTTTTACAGGGAAGAAGAAAGCCTCTATACAGAAGGAACCTAAACGTGAAAATACAGCTTCTACGTTAAGAGGTGAATGGATGTTTGGAGTCATCCCTGTGCCTGCAAAGGCAAACTGCTATTAGGGAGCCAACTTAACTTGGATGGTTCCCATGCCCTTTAGAAAAGCCCTCCCCTAAGAATGTATACAAGAAGGTGGTGAAAGGCAGGGCTTCAGCGCATTTAAAGCGTGCCTGCGTGTGCGTGTGTGCGTGTCTGCGTGTGCGTGATGGGCTGGGATCTCCAACTAGAGAGGATGGGACACGCTGCACTAAGGCTTTATGCTTTCCTTCTAAATCTATCCTTCTTTCTTCAGAAAAATGGGTAATTAATCCAGAAGAGCTAAAACTAAGTATTTTATGTGAGCTGGAGGTAAGAAATGTTTATCAGCCCAACTAGTAAACCCTCCTCATGGTGAAAGTTGATCATTCAATCTTCAACTTTCTCTTTCTGTCTTTCTCTCTAAAATTTAGTTTGAGGAAGACTTCATAACACTGTTTGAGCCTTCTCTGAGAACGTTACCCAGCGTGGGCCCGCCACCCTGCCTGGCATTCAAAGGGGAGCTTTCCCCTATAGGCAGTGACTTCAAGGTGATTTTAACTCTCATTTTTTTACTTTAATAAGTGATGTGAAAAGCCACATGATGATTTGCACAAAAGACAGTGAACATACTTTTAAAAAACACAGGCAAAGAGTCCATTACTTGAAACAGCCCTTGGACAGGAGGCTAGATTAGTTTCCTAGGGCTGCTGTCACAAAGGACCACAGAGAAGGTGGCTTAAAATGACAAACACACATTGTCTTCCAGTTCTGAAGGTCAGGAATCCAGAATCAGGGAGTCAGCATCCAGCGTCCAGGAGGGAAGTACTTCTTGCCTCTTCCTGGCTCCTGGTTGTGGGCGTCAGTCCTTATACTTGGCTGGCAGACGCATCTCTCCCTCTCGGTCTTTGCGGTCCCGGCGTTCTGCTTGCCTGTGTCCAAGTATCTCTCTTCTCCAAGGACACCAGTCGTGTTGGATTAGGGCCCACCCTAATGACCTCATCTAAACCTGATGACATCTACAAATACCCCTTTTCTAGATAAGGCCACATTCACAGTTTCCAAGCGTTAGGACTTCAATGTGTCTTTTCACGGGAGCATAATTCAACATGTAACAGTGACCATAGCACCTGGAAACATAGGTTTGCCATATTTGATCTTGTTAACTGACCAATTAATGCCTGTGCTTGATGGGCAAGGGAAAGGCCACCTTAGTCATTCCAACAGGATGATCCAGCACCTGCTTCTCCAGAGTGGCGAGGGATTGCCTGGGGGATGATTATTTCCAAACTTGGTGTGACCGCCACTTGGAGAGAGGACATAGCCCCACATCACAGCCCCTCTGGTTACTTCTTCTGGGTGCACTAAGGCCAATCAGGCAGGTCAGCCTGTCGCAGGTGGTGTGCAGGAGTTGGCGGGAACACTGCGTGGACATCCTGACACATTGCTCCTTGTGCAGCACATCGACTATATCATGTCATTTAACATCAACCAAGCCCAGGTCTCTAAACATTCTGGTCACCCTGTTGACTCTCTGGGTTGAAATTCTTTATTCAATCATAACAGCTTCCTTCTTCTGAACCACAAAGGCTGGTATCCAGGGAAGCTTCTTGAGCTTTCTTCCTCTGACCCCCAGAGATGGGCCTGAACATAAGGAAGAGCCTTTCTTCCAGGAGCTTCCCTGCATTAGCACCTGGGCAGGGCCGGCTCCTCCTGCTCCTTGGCCAGACCTTCCAGGCCCTCTGAGATGGGCTTGAACACTGTCTAGTTCTGGAGCAATGCAGCCAGCTTGCCCACTTCCCCTCCAGTCGCTCCCTCTTCAGTGTAGGTCTCAGCCCCACTCCTGGTCTTCTGAAGCATCTCCACCTCACTTCACCCCAGGTGAAGGGGTAGAGGGATTGTGGGCTGAGGAGCTCACTACCAAGACCCTTGTATGGAACAAGTTGTAGATGGCCTGGCCTTGTCAAGCCCTCCTTGTGCCCTGCTCCCTCGTCTGGGAGCCATCCTAGATTTTACACCACCATATCTCTATTACTAGGCTATCTCTATTACCCCACCCACCCACTAAGTCCTCTGCTTTCAGCTACACTCTTGTGTAGTTTCAATGGCTAAAGGTATTGCGTGATGAACCCCTGACTGTACTGGCCACCTCAGCTGCACTTTGGCCCCACAATGGTCATCTTGCCAGTCCCAGAGAATGGTTTCTATGGCAAATACAGATACCCTGGTTGCATTTGTGACTGTAAGTGATGATCTTGGTCCTTTCCTGGAGGCCTGTGCTGAGGCCTGCTTGCAGTCATGACCTCAGATCTCCAACATGGCCACTCACGGTGCATCAGTCACTCACTGAGCCACCTGAACTTCTAACTCCAGATCTCCCTCTTGCTTCCCCTGGTCTCCTCCTCCCCCTCCTGAGTTCCCTTCAAAGCTCAGACAGGAGAATTCAGAGCCCCATCCTGGGCTTCCCCTTGAGAAAGGACTCGAATTTAGGAAGGTGATCATTGTAAAGGTGGCCTACATAGTAATGTCAAGACTTTTTTACCTGACACTTCTTGAAAGGGTTTATGGTATTCAAACTCCATAGACCATTTACCTACAATCTGATATGTGTAATCTTCTGCCTCTCGCATCTGGTTACACACTGTATCTCCCTCCCCAGCAAGGGGCTCTGGTTTCAACAGTCATTTCTGCAACTTTCTTCTTACACTAAGGAGGCATCCGCAGGACCCCACACAGCTCCTGATGGGTTCGGCTGTGCTCAGGTGAACTGCACCAGACAGAGGCCCTCAAACACCACTTCAGAGTCCTCAACCCTCACCAACCCATGAACAGAAGTGATGTGTCATTCTGGAATATACATATTTTGCTGGCTTGCTTCCTTCTAGTATAGGATTTCAGCCTCCTGGAGGTTTCCCACCAACCATTTCTGGGGGTCTTCAGGGGGTCTGACAGGTGTTCTCAATGTCTGTACATCTTCCCTGTCCCTACTGTCCTGGTGAACGCTCACTGGCCTCCCCCAGAGCTCTGGCTCCTGCTGCTCTCAGAGGCTCTTGTGGGCAGGTCTTCACTTTTTCCCTCTCTCAAGGAACAAGAGGAGGAGATGTTGCCCAAGTGTGAATTTTGTGGGAGCGATCTAAGAGCATTTCTTTCTGATTTGGATGTTTATTCTGACGACAATAACTCTGAACCAATAAAACAGGTAAGTTCTAAAGCAGGTTTACTGAGGAAATAGTGTTGTTTTTAAATACCACTTTTAAATATGTAGTATTTTCTCCTGCATCTTTCCCTTGCATTACCATTCTTAAAAGTTATGTGTTAGCAGTCTGGGAAACACAAATCCTAACCACAATGGGATACCATTCCACACCCACTAGGATGGCTATAATAAAAAAGACAGATAATAACGAGTGTTGGCAAGGAGGTGGAGAAACTGGAACTCTCATACTCTGTTGAAGGGGAATGTAAGATGGTACAGCCATGTTGGAAAAAAGTCGGGTAGTTCCTGAAAAAGTTAAAGGTACAATTGCCATATAATCCAGCAATTCCATTTCTAGGTACATACCCAAGAAAACTGACAATATTTGTCCACACAAAAACTTGTACACAAGTGTTCCCAGCAGCATGATTTATAACAGCCCAAAGGTGAAAACAATCCAATGCCCTTCCACTGATAAATGGGCAAATAAATATGGTGTATTCATAAAAATATTATTCAGTCACAAGAACTGAAGTACTAATACGTGCTACAACCTAGATGAATCTTGAAAACATTATGCTCAGTGAAAGAAGCCAATCACAAAGTACCACATACTGTATGATTCCATGTATATGAATTGTACAGAACAGGCAATGTATAGAGACAAAATAGGTCAGTAGTTGCCAAGGGCTGAGAGGAGGGGAGGAGAGGGAGGGAGTGTTAATGGGTAACGATTTCATGTTCTAAAATTGATTGTGGTGATGATTACACAACTCTGTATACACTAAACACCATTGAACTGCACACTTTAAATGAGTTAATTGTATGGTGTATGAATTATAACTCAATAAATTTGTTATAAAAAAAGTTACTATAGATTGTTATTCAACCGCATTAGCCATGTTTGGTTTTTACCCCCTGTAGTTACCTTTATCCAGAACTAAAAAGATGAAAATGATCTTCGTTTTTAGGCTTCCTGTTGTAATAATTTCCAAAATCTGATTGACTACATCTATGAGGAAAAACAAAAAATCCAAAGCTCTAAAGAAGAATTCATCAGTATCTACCCTCATGCAGCCTACGGCACTGAGATGGACAGACTCAAAGAAAAGGAAAAGGCCCTCGGGAGGTGACATTGAGCCTTTAATATTGAAGCTTAATCTGCATTTGTCAAAGTGGTTCTTCACCTTCAGGGACTAGGACAGCAGTGTGGTGAT